GAAAGCCACAGGCTTGTGGGTGTGGGGCTGCAGGAGTTTGGGCTGGGGTTGTGAGGGGCTCAGGGCAGAGAGGCTGGGAATATGATATGCTCAGGACACAGATTTGTGATGTGTGGATGGTGCAGGAGTGTGGTGGCAGAAGACTGGGGATGTGGGGGTGCAGGAGTTTGGGGATGTGAGAGGCTCAGGACAGGGGGTTCCAGTGTATGACAGGCTCAGGTTAGGAGTCTGCGGGGTGCAGGAGTGTTATGATGCTGTGGCCAGAAGGGGTCTTGGCCCCAATTGGGGGCTTGTTGGCCAGGCTTGATTTTTAAAAAAATGTTATTTCAAACACAAAATGTTTCAGCGTTGTCTTTATTTATGGGAGGGGCGGGGAACCTGTTTTCAGTCAGGAGTCACTGACCCACAGAAAAGTCAGTTGGGGTTACACACGTGAGATCCAATAACAAAAACCCCTCACAAACCCCCTAAGCCTCACTAATGTGGTCCTAATTGTGTTGGTGGGGGCAGCAGACAGGGTGCTGGGGCAGGGTACTCACGGGAGGAAGGTTTGGCCAGGGGAAAGGACAGAGACAGCTGGGGCCAGTACCCAGGTCTCAGGAAGCACACGGGCTGCTCTTCCCCTCCCCTAAACAGCTGGTGTGCTTCCTAAAATGCCTGGTCTGTTGCTCCATCAGGGACTTCCTTCCCCCTTGCTGCGTGTGTCAGTGTCAGTCCCAGGACTGCATGCCAGCTCCAACTTCTCAGGAAGTCCCAGGATTCTTACTCCCTTCCTCCTTCCCTCCCCTCCCCCCCTTCACAGGCAGGCAGCAGGGAGAAAAGTCTCCCTCCTTCTCCAAAGCCAGACACACAGACACCCCAACCTGATCCCCCTTTCCTCCCCTTCCCCAAAGCCAGGCACATCCCCGCCAACCCAATCCCCTTCCCTCCCGCTCTAACCTAATTCTTGGGTCCCGGAGCCACCACCGCTGCTATAGCCATCTGTCTCTCTCCAGGCGCTGAGGAACATGCGGAGAGTGGCCGGCCTTGAGCATAAGCTGGCCGGGACACCATGCACAACCCAATCCCCTGTCCCTTCCCTTCCCTTTCCTTCCTCAGAGCCAGATATCT